CAACAATTCTTTTATTTGTTCATCAAATTCCAATATATCTTGGTAGGTATAAACCATTTGTCTTACTCTAATAATCTTATTAGGATTTGTTGGAGATATCTTAGCAAATGCCTTATCCTTTTCCCAAAGTTCTAATGGATTTGTTGAATATAATTTTTCACATAAATTTTCTTGCTGCTTACTTATCTGATCTATTAATGATGAATCACACTCAGAGATTCTAAGTATAACCTCTCGTTGTGTAGGTGTAACCTTATCACCACGCTGGCTGCGCGTAAATTCCATAGTCTGATGAGTATAAGCCTTTGTTATTTTCTGTATAGGAAAAGAATGACCATTAATAGTAAAGATAATTTGATCAATGGTTTGGGTGCATGGAGAGTATAATCTTTGAAAATTGTTTCCTATTATCATATCATGACTAGGTTGATAAGTTGCCCATAATATAGGAATAACACATTGAACTCCTCCAATTTCTATTAGTAATTCTTCAATTATTTCTGTATGCATCATGACACTATTATTAGCAATTCTAACTTGCATAGGATTTTTATCCTTTTTCCAGAAGAATTCTGGAAATAATGACCTTTTTCCAAAATATGTAGAACAACCACTATCAATATATGCACATAATTTATATTTATTATAATCTTGAATACAAATATCAATTGGAATATAATTCTATTAGGATTAGTACTAGATATTTCATTACAAGCTTTCGTTTGCATATTAACTTCATCTTCATATACTGGTTCACTTACAATTTTGGTCTTATATTCAATTACCTTTCTTTTTCAATAATAGGATTATTCGGATCTTCATGTATTTCTAAGTTGGAACATGAACCAGTATCTATACTATGTCTTGCTTGTTGCTTTAAGGATTTCTTAGCTTCATATTTTTCATTTAACTTTTTTATTAAAGCTAATATTTCTTCTTCCTCCTCTTCGGGTTTTTCATTGACTTGTTTTTCATCCTTATTATAGTTGAATTTTGTCTTCTTAGACTTGGTGTTCTAAGACTCATACTTCTCTACATTTTAGGATTTGTAGTTAACCCAATATGAAGTAATCCTGATTCATCAATTAACATCTTACTTGACCTATCTTTTACTACAGGATTCATGAAGAATTCTTCCCATATTTTTTCGATTTCTATTTCATTAGGATTTACCTTTATAGGGCTAATTTTCTTCTTAGGACCTCATCCTTACTCATATTTTTGAGCATTTACTATTTGTTTCTTGAAAGATGAATCTATAGTGTTAACCATCTTATAGACTACCTTCCATCTTAATTGTATAGGTCGAGTTTCTTTATGCATGTTTACTCCATCAGTTAATAACTTGATTGCTAGAAATTTTGGAGGGTATGCAATGAATCTTCTAAGCTCACATAGTATCTAGTTTCACACATATAACTCACAGTTCCTTGACTTAAGCTACAAGTGATACCACTAATAATTTGCTCATAGAACTCTTTATGTCTAATATCACAAACAAAGCTTAAACATTTAACATTTTTACCAAAATCTTGTAAATGAGTTATGTGTACTTGCACTGCACCAATACAAATATAACTATAATTTCCTTTTTCTTTATGATTCTTAATGCTTTTTCCAATTTATGATATTAATTTCTGCTGCTTTTTTTTCACAATCCTCGATTACTATACTTCCTTCCATTTCTTCACATACATATTTAGTTTTACTTTTAAAGAAAGAAGTTTTAAATATTTTATCTTTAGTAATCCGGGAAAATTCCAGCTTTCTTTGTTCATTTGATCTAGGTTTTTATCTTCAATTGAATACTCAGCTCTTTTTAGTTGACCTATAGTCATTTTACTTTTATCCTCATCGTTTGATTCTGAGTTTTCTAATACTTCTCCTTCCATCATAGTATTTATTTCTTCATAATTTTCATCTTCAAAGTCACTGTCTTCAGGTTCTTCATTATACTCATTTTCTTCTTCTATGATATCTACTATTCCTTTATTATTACTTAAAGCCAACTCTAAAGCCTGATCTTCTGGTATTTCTATGTAGTCCCAACTACCTAAAGCTTTCATTAGTTTATAATTAGTTTTCTTACATTCATTAGCATAATGTCCTAATTCTCCACAAGACCAACACTTGCATGTTTTCTTTTTCTCAGGACAATATGTCGCCTTTCAAAAAAACCTACTGGGTATTTTGTATTTATGTTTATAGTACTTCTTCTTATAGGTTTCTCCTCTTGATCTGTCAAATTTATTTTTCTTATAATTCTTCCTCTTATTATAGTTTTTTCTTTCACAACCATAATTATTTGGAAAATCCCAACAAGTGAGAAATTATCTCTTCATTTGTTGAGTTCCTACAACCTCTGTACATTTCTTTTCAATCCATTTTTTTAGAAAAGCAATTCTATTACCTAGGCAATCCCTAGCTAAGAATTTCTCTTTCCATTCTTGATATTTTTCACTAATTTGTTCATTAAGAGGACTTGGTAATTTATCGTAAAACATTCCAAGATTTGTTTCATTTTCACCAATTTTAAAATAATATGTTTCAAATTTCATAATGTAATTATCAACATATTTCATATTACAGATGAACAAGTTACTTAACTTTCTTTGATATTCCATTTGTTTTTCATTAGGATCAGCTCTAGGACCAATGAATTCTAACTGAATGTATTTACATAACTGTCTAAACATTCTAGTAAGAGATTCACTAGCTCTTAATGTAGTTTTGACTTCTTCATCTATACCATCATACCAGTCTTCTACACAGCCATAAAAATTATGTTAAATATAATTTAAGAAATTTTCAGAAGTCCATTCAGTGTATAAATTGAGTACACTACTCATGCTCTTCTTCCACTAATCTAAGACATCTTGTCTATCCCTTATACCATCTAACTTAAGCTTATAACCCGTTTGACTTATAGGTTCAAGAGTCACTTCTTCTTGTTTAGGAATTTCGTTAGGCATAACCTTGACACTAAATTGGGTAGTCTTCCGTAGTATGTATCTTGGTCGTGTGCAACTCCCTTCTCCTTGATACCTAGGTCTTTGGATAACATTGTTTACATTAATATTTTCATTAATAATTTCTTCTCCAATATCATTATTATCCATTACCGTTTTACCTAGTTTGTTTTCAATCTTTTGTTGAACAACTTCTATAGGTAGAAAGTCTAGATCATTTAACTTCATTTATCCCATTTGTTGATATAAATCTTCCTCTAAAGTAACATAGTTATTCTCCTCTACTTCATTATCAAAAGCAATCCGTTTTTCAGAAATTATTTTCATGATATCATTTAGCTTATCAGGGTCTTCTTCTTTATCAAACAAGATTTGCAATTCTTCAATCGTTTTCTCCTGAACATGATGGCTCATCCTTAGTTTCTTTGTTCTTTTCTTGGTTACTAGTAGGTCTTTTAGGGAGTGATATCGTAAAATTTTTATTTTTATCTAAATTTTGAAAAGGATATTTATATTTATAAGGGACGATTTTTTCCTTATTAGGTGATACTTCTTTATTAGATTGATGTCTAACTTCGTTTGTTAAAGCAAATTGCACTTGTTTAACTTGTTCTTTTAGATCACTTACTTTTTTATTAATATCGGTTGTGGTTATTGATATCTTATTTTCAATATTAATACAACGAGCATGTATGTTATCAACTTCTGATCTTAATTCACCAATTTGATCTACTATATAATTAAGGACTGGTCCAAAATTACTAGTATTTTCAGGAATATGATAATAATGCTTAAAATCAGGTTTCTTACACTTAGTAGAAGACCTAGTATTCTCCAATTTTACTTAATTATTAATTTAATTAACAACTTAGTTTAACTTTTAACTGTATGGTTCTGATACCAAATTGGCGATCCCAGACAATAATAGACAATATCTGGACTTTTAATGACAATATATACATAAATTACCTTTTATTTATGGAAACCTACACTTTATTTTCTGACACTAACTTGGTGCGGAATGACAATATTTTGATACTACTGAGTGACAATATAATTATAACCAATGACGGTTACAAAATAGCTAATTTGAGCAACACGGGCCATATAATATAAGTAATGACAATGTTTTATGAGTTTTAAACTTATCCTACTGATAAGAGTTTAGAGTTCTGGTACAATTTTTTTTTTGTGTGTGTGTGTGTGTGCACGAATTAGTAGGCACAACACGTTGCTGGACTAAGTATTACCCGTGGTGAGAGGGTGGTTACGGGGTGTGTGGGGGAAAGCTTCACGGTGGGTTGCTGGTGGCTGCTAGGTGGATTTGTGGTTATGTGGCTGTAGTGTGGCTGGGTTGGGTGGTGTTTAATTTTTCAATTTCTCCCTCATCCAATTAATCACGTAAACCTTATTTTCTAATCTTTGCTAAAAAAACGTTTTCTTAGGATTTGTGCGACCAAGTTTGTTGCAGATAATATGAATTTTTTTTTTTATCATATAACTAATATTTATACAAATATATTTATTAAGTGATCAATAATTCATACATTATTGTAGATTAAGATTATTATACAATATATAATATCATCTTACTAATATTGAGAAAAGTTATGCATTGATATGTCATATATAATGTCAAATAATGATAAACAAAATTCCTATATATACTACGTATATTTCATGATAGAAAACTATTTCAGACTTTAAAAAAAAAAAAAATTCCAAATTTTTTTATGTACAAAATAAATTATAACTTTCGATTAATATCTTATAAGTCTGTTATAAAGTATTATTTAATAATAAAATTCATTTTTAAAGATAATTTTAAACGAGGAGGCCCCATTTCTCATGATGAGAAACATCTTATGTTTCTCATGGGGGTATAACCGACATTACACCTCATATAAGTCATTTGGTTTATGTGTGATGTGGCGTCATTATTCTAACGTGTTTTACTTGGTTTGCCTAGCTGGTTTGCCCACCTATGTTTATGGAGTTTTCACAGTGACCTGTTAGTTTCATCGGTTATGGGGTATTCTTGAAGAGTCAAAATCTGGGCGAAACTCAAGTCGAAGAAGGCAAGGATTCCGGTTTTTCAATTCGACTTCTTGGAATCTCAAGTTGAAGAGCTGGGCGAAACTCAACTCAACTCGAAGAGGTCCGAACTCGAACTCTTGGTTTATCCAGGTTCTTTCTGATTCATGTTCATTTCGAACTTGGGTTCTTTTTTTTTCTCAATTCGAACTTGGCTTGTTGTTTTTCCGAATGTTATAGAGTTGAGGGTCGATGTTCAGTACGTCGATTGTTTCAATTGACAGAATTATTTCGGCGAGGCAGTTCGGATTTATTTAGGGTTCGGATTATTTCAATTGACATTATTTGCAGAATTATTTCATTGACATAAATATTTGCAGATTATTTCAAGGCAGTTCGGATTACTTCGACGTTAATTGTTTTAATTTATTATATTATCTGGAATTAAATAGTGGAATTAGATGCGTTTCGCTGCTCTGAAATGTTCATTTGATGGAATGAGGTGAATTTTGCATTTTAAATGTTCATGGAATGAGGTGAATTTTGCATTTGAAATGTTCATTCGATGGAATTGAGGTGAATTATTGATTCATTGGTGCTCATTATTCGTTCTATATATGTGATATTGTGTGATGGTGTGAAATCGTATCGAGTTTCGATTTGGTTGTGGGTAGATTAGATTAGATTGAGTATTGTGTGTAATGTAATTAACACACCGTATTTGATGTATTTGACAGGATTACGAAAATTTCAGAGGGGAATGGTAAGCGTAAACGTACAATGGTGAGGGTTTTTGGTTTTTTATAGATATATTGTTTAGATTTTTTAGATACAATGGTGAGGCTGGGATGTGATTATGTTTTGAATTATGGTTTTATATTTTGGTAACGAAGGCTGAAGATGATGAAGAGGGGTATGGGCTCAGTAAGAAGAGTAAGGTATGTCGGCAGAAGACCATGCATTTGTACCCGGAATTGTTTAAGGTACTACAACATGGAATTATGTTCGATGCGTGTGAATTTGGTGTTTGGTGTTTTTGCATGATTAAGGTTTATGCATGAATTAAGTTACTGGTGTGTGCTGCTTAGGATGACGGATTAAGTTATGGAGGGGCTGTCAAAGGTAGAGCGGAGGTGATGGCTGAACATTCAAAGGCCAGAAGCCGGGTAAGTTTGCTTGTTGATTCAGTGGTCATTTGGTGTGGGATATGAACTTACTTAATGTACCTTCATTGGCAGCCTCCTAACATGAGTTGCCGCATTGAGTCATTTGGGCGCATATGTCAGAAATTTGATGACAGGAGAAGACGTTGGGTTTGTGAGATGGGATTTGGTAGTCTTTTACATCTTGCTTTAGATATGCATTTACCAAGACAATTGGCATACTGGGTGATGACACGGATGGATCCAATCAGTAAAATACTTAGAAGTACCAACGGTGTTGAGTTTAGGTTTTTAAAGAATCAGGTTCGGTGGGTAATAGGGATACCAATGGGTCCTAGGTTTGTTCCTTGTACTAAAACCATGACCGCACGTGATCATGAAAAGGTTCAGAGAATTTTTTTGAAGTATGGTAAATCTTGGGAGTCCAAGAAGTCTGTTGGACAATCTGGTCAGGTATACACGTCTGTAGGCATACCATTAAGTTCAGATATGATGAATCGGTTAGAGGGGTACTTTGATGCTGGAGAGGAAGAGGAATTCAAGACGTTGTTCTTGATAATTTCTTTGGAGATGGTGTTGTGTCCCACGCAGTCCCCCCGGCTTGCGTCTGACCTACTACCTGCAGTAAGTTGTGCTACGGAGGCAACTGAGTTTGATTGGTGTTCTTTAGTGTTGTCGAAGTTGCTGGAGAGCCTTCAAAATTTTGCTCGAAGTTTCCATGCTAACGGGTTTGCCAGTGGATGCGGCGGGTGTGCAATATTTGCCGTAGTAAGTGTTTCAGTGTACTCTTGCTTGTTTTGTTTTTCGTTGTGCGTTTTGTTTTAGTAATTGCTTCTTTTTCTTTTACAATTTTGGCAGATATTTTACTTGGATCGGTTGGATAGGGATCCTATTGAATGGGATGTTTTTCCAAAAATTAAAGTGTGGACTATGCAGCAGATTGGGAAGGCAGCAAAATCAGACAAATTGCTGTCCGACGACTACGGGAAACTAGGGGTAAGCACTTTTGTATTTGTTTCAACTTTTGTATTGTTTTTATTATATTGCATAGTATGGTTTAGAGTAACCTTATTCCATTTGTATGTCTTTCTGTGGTTCAAGCTATTGGATGTTGCTTATGGTGAACACCACCCAAGGGATGCAAGGGGTAGTGTTGGACCCCTACAAGCTGGAGTGAATAATGTGAGGTTTGATCTTAAAGTAGTTGTTTCACCTGTGTTCTCTGATCTTAAAGTAGTTGCATACGGTGAACTTTATTGAACTTTATTTGGATGCAGATGCATGATTTACCACCAGTGCCTGGGTTTAACTTCAAGGCTAGGCAAAGGAGGGGCCGAATTCCTGAGCTAACAGATGAATAATTCGGATATTCTTATTTGTATTTCTATTTGTATTCTAATGATTTGGATATTATTTGTATTTGGATATTCTTATTTTCAGTTTCGTTGAATACTATTCAGATTAATATTATTTTCAATTGACAAAATACTATGTGGGATTTAAATAAGTAAAATGAGACTCGACAACTTGTTTAAACTATAAACGAAGCAAAGTTGTCAATGTCTTTGTTCAATATGAATCTCAAGGTCTTGAATTCAGCTTCAAAACCTAAGGCGGAATTCAAGGCTTTGAGATTCAGTTCAAAACTTAAAAAACTTAAATTTTAGGAGACTTACAAAAATTGTAAATAAAGCAGATTATTGAATAAAGCAGATTATAACTTTCAACCCGCGAAGTTTACAATAATAATCCAATTTTAGGAGAGGAGAGACGCCTTCCTCATCAGGAAAGAAGATACAAGAAAGCATATTCGAAAGTAAGTAAGTAAGATACAAAGAAAGAAGCGCAATTCAAAAGTTCTCTCGAATTCGTTCGCGAGGGATAATGGAACGCACCAAATACATAACTAAAAATGATTTTAGGTTCCAATTTTAGAGAATTACAAGAATTTAATAGCATCCATTTCGGATCCTAGTTATCAGAATATGGAAAACTCCTTGACCAACATAACGCACACTCAGAATATCACCATCCTGGACATCATTGTCAACCACAAAGTTCTCCCAACCAGAATACATGAATAGACCACGAGTGTCACTAATTTTTGCACCGAGCAATTCCACATTCCACGCTGGCCCTCCGGGACCACGTTCAACACGAACAAGAGCCGAAAAAACAGAAGCAAAAGACTTCCAATGTTTAGGAAGAGGCTACGCACAAGGAAAACAACACAACATCAAATCACACACATTAACACACGAATAGAAAGACAAACACACGAATACGCAAGTGAAAAACAATACCAGAGCAGATCTATGGTGATTCTTATATTGAATTATGCATTCCATCTCATCATCATCCTCATTCTGTTCCACAGGACCTCCTCCAACACCGCCAACACCACCATCATCCTTCTTTTCTACATGACCTCCTCGTACACCAACATTCCTAGCCACGTTTTCACCCCTGTCCTGTTTAATAATCCTGTCAACAGGTTCCATATATTCAACAGTCGGCCCATCTCCGCCATAACCTGCCAAACCCCTTGTACGGATTTCATCAACTTGCCCATAAAGCGCTGCAATGCGCTGGTCTCGAAGCCGGTGCAACTGGGCTGACAAAACCCTCGCTTCTTGTAGCTTGGCGGTATGTGCTGCTCTAATCTTAGCCAATTCTTCTATCTTAACCTTCCTCTGCGCACGGATTTCACCCAATTCTTCTCCCTTAGCCTTCTCCTGCGCACAGATTTCACCCAATTCTTCTCCCTTAGCCTTCTACTGCGCACTTATTTCAGCCAGTTCAACGTACAACACTTCAAGATGCGCTTTCAACTGTCGCATTTCTCTGTTAGCCATGGTTTCGGTGCTCGTAGGAAGAGGAAAAGATTTAAAAGAAGTTGGAGAAAGCACAAAATATTTCAAAGAACATGGAGAACTGAAAAGAAAACTGAAGGACGGTTTCTAAATAAACACAATAAACGAAGCAATGCATCATAACTCCACATTAACTGCACATCATAACTGCACATTAACTGCACATAAAAGAAAACACAATAACTGCACATTTTTGAAAAGGCACATTTTTGAAAAGTCACAATTTTAAACCACAGTTTTAATGCATCATAACTAAAGCAATGCATCATTAACTGCCTGTGCATCAGAATTTTGTACACTCCGTATGAAACGCTACTTGTACTTGATATTGCACGGTTTTTTATAAAATGACCATAACATATGCGGTACAAACTTTTCAAAAAATCTAATTCATGTTATGGTTACAAACCGAGGGGGTTAGGATAATAAAATCATATGTTTAAGTCATTCACATTATGCAGCAGAATCGATCATTAAACTATTACATCCTAATGTCCATGTTTTTAAAACAGACAACTACAGAGACTCCTGCCTACGTAAGTTCTTCTTGTGTTTCTTTCCCACCAAATGCGTCTGAAGACCATTGTCGCTTGTGCAGCTGATTTTACAAAGATCACACCACGGTTCTCCTTCTGTTCTTTGCTTTGGAAGGTTGTGTTGTGCACTGGTTTCCCCGGTACGCACTTCAAGTTGCGTGTTAGCAGCAGCTGTGTGGGGCAATGAAGCAACAGTTGAGACAGTATTAATGGAGTTCTACTGGAGCTTTCGTAAGCTCTTCTGGTGATTCTTTCCCACTAAGTGCTTATTAAGACAGTCAGTGCTCGTACAGGTGATTTGACAAACATCACACCACGGTCCTTCGGTTTTTGTTATCTCTAGAGGGTTGAGTTGTACAATCCGATTATCAGCGTTTACCAAAAATTGGTGAAATTAGATTAGAAAGAAACAAAAGACAGAACTTCGAATTTCACAAACAGTAATGTGCAAAGATTGGATCAGATTAATGTCGCATAATCTAAACAACAAATAAGATTATAATCGAATTATAAAAAATAAGAATCTGCATAAGTATCACTATTAATAATAACAACAGAAGGAATTGTTGAAATTGAGTACAAGGAAATGTTGAATTTTTTTTAATTGTATGCAACAACATAGTTGCATAATTGTTAAATCATTAATTCAAGTAAACTTATCGAAATAAGATCATTTGTAATTGTAACAACCAAACACTGTAAACATCAATCCATGAACGATTCAACCTTACCTCTCCTAAATACAAGCTTGAATTTAATTTGACTTAATCCCTGATCTTAGTAAACATATTCAACTAATTTCCCCGGATATATAAAAATTTTCAATTTCGACCAAATGAAGTTGACCGCCAATCTCAACACAACCTCATTTAATTCAATCCAACACCAACCCCCCTTGAAAATAAGCAATTCATCACCCCCAACAAAATTTGCTTTAATATTTAAAACTTCAAAGGTATGATGAAATCATGATTTGGTTGGTTTCCCAATCATAGTACCCATAGTTGAGTACACATGTTCATGCTTTCAACAACAAACCATAAAGCATAAGCTCAATTATAAACAATAAACTCAATCATAAACCATAAACGAAATTAGAAACAACAAACAAACTTTCAACAACTATCCATTTTCCAGACAAAGCGAAAACATACCACATAATACGTAGCAGGGGCCGGTTGTCTGACAACCCAATTTGCTGAAGTACCACCCGGGTCCGAATAAACTGGTTGTGCTCCATAAGCCGGAGTATTTGAGGGATATTGCCCAGGGGCAAAACCCGGAGGAAGATAGACAGAAGGGTTAGAGTAGAGATATTGACAATGACGAGGGTCCGAATAAACAGGTTGTGGTGCACCAAAACCCGGAGTATTTGATGGATATTGCCCAGCACCAAAACGCGGAGTATTTGATGGATATTGCCCAGCACCAAAATGCGGAGTATTCGATGGATACTTCCCACGAACAAAACCCGGAGTGTTTGATGGATATTGCCCCGGTTCAAAAAAGGCAGAAGGGTTAGAGTAGACAGATTGAAACTGAGGAGGGTACGTCAATGAAGGATTATGAATTGAAGGGGCATAGATTGCCCAGGAACATAAGGGTGGTGGGTACATGGTGCTTCATTGTTAGGTTGAAACATTTTTTTTATTTTTTCCGGTAATAGCTTCACATCCGGACAACAGAGGAAATGAGAAAGGAAGCAGTACGGTCGGACTTCAGGAACGTTTACAAAACCAAAAAATAAAGGTTGGCACTGGGAAGTAGGGTAAAAAATAAATTTTGGTAACAGCTTTTTAGGAAGTGTGCCCTTGTCATTGTATTGTCATTGTCAAATAGTACGTCCTCCAGTAATTTGTCCTTATCCCTGTCATTGTATTGTCATTGTCACAAACATTTGCCAATTGATTAAGCCAAAACTTTTTCATACCTACCCATATTTTTAAACATAATATACCCATAGTTCATACCCATAATTTTAAATATGTCGCACACCCATTTGAAAATCGTATCTGTAGTGTTGGTAATGCAATTGACATAAATAAAAATGAGACAAGCACTTAATGAGACAAAACCGAAGCCAACTCAAGCAGACTACTTGACCGAATTTTTGTTAGATTAGGTGAATTTTCCAAATTTCATTTAATTTCATTTAACGGTAAGATTATAGATTTTTCGAGACAAGCACTTAATGAAAATGTGAAATGTACGAAGTAGATGATATATTGATGAGAACATGTCAGTTAATTATTATTTGGGAAATTATCAATAGTACACTCCAGGTTTTGACTTTCACGAATGATACACTTCATTAAACTATCTTTATCACCAGGTATTTGGTGACAGCGTTTGAAAGGCTCGGAGGCTGAAATTATTGCATTGCCCCACTAATTGTGTTTCCCTCCTATTTGGCGACATTTCCCCCACTTATACACTTTCCTTGCTTGCACTCCCCCTGTCCATTTCACGCTCTTGTTTTGGTTTAACTTATATTTTTCTACACAGTCAATGGCTTCATGTGACAGGGTTTCATCTTGAAGCAATGGAAATGGAAGAGGTGACTGGTTTAAAGTCATGAATTGCAACTGCCAACCTCCAACATTTGAAATAGTTGTAAGAAATAGATGAAATGATGAGGGACAAAATTAAAATTTGTACTAATGCTTGCCTTCAATTTTTGTACTAATGAAGGACAAAACTGCCTTAAATTTTTTGAACTAGATGAACTAAGTTGTAAGAAGTTCTTCATTTACCTGAACATAAAAAAATAAATATTTCCCTTTAACAATAATAGCAACGGACAAAATTACAATGCTTCAACATCAATTATTTGACCAGGTTCAATTCGCAATCTTCGCAGACATAATCTCTAGGACTTGAGACAAGACACGTATACTATGGTAATTGATCACACATTGAAGGATCAATAAGGGGGGGGGGGGGGTTGAACTGAGTTCTCAAGTTCTCAGCCTGCACAGAATTTACATACATAACAAACATACACATGAAGATCAATAAGGGGGGGGGTTGAACTGAGTTCTCAAGTTCTCAGCCTGCACAGAATTACATACATAACAAACATACAAAAAAAAAATATAGCCCATCATACATATAAAACACCATAACAATGTCATTTTAAAGGATTACAACCTGCAAATAGAAACGGTTCAGCATAACATATCACATGTTAAAATAAAAGATTACACCATAACAATGTTTAGAACACAGGAAGGAAGTTAAAAATTATTTAAAAGATTACAGACAAAAATAACAGA